AGACTTCAGAGTTTAGGGACCTTGGAAGGTTGGAAGTTTCAAGGTATTGTGACTTTAGAATTTAGGGACTATGGGAGATTGGGGGTTTCAGGGTGTTGAGACTTTAGAAGTTAAAGATTTTAGAATTCTAGGATTTGACATTATAAGACTAGAGAACTTTGAAATTCATGAGTTTGGGGATTTTAGAATTTTTGACTGTGAGACCTCGAAATCACAGACTCTTCAGATTTGAACATTTTAGAATTCAAAAATGTTTAGATTCAGCAATTTTACAATTTTCAAATTGTTCAATTTTGGGGACTCTGTGAAACTCCACAAACTTCAGTCGACTACTTTGAAACCTCAGGACTTTTGTATCATAGAATTTTAGGGTCTCAAAATTGTGTTCATTTTTAAACATTAATTTTTCAGGACTTTGGGAGTTTCAGACTATGTAATTATAAATTGGAACATTCAGAACAGAGATTTTACAATTTTCAAACTTGCTACGTCAATTGTACTGTATGAAATGTAGTAACGTTAGTACAGAATGTCCATACAACTTTTATTTGTGAAATTGTCCAGCGTTATCATGACAGGTTCGTTAAAGCCGTGATTGTGTCACGACCCCCATAGGTGGCTACATAAATCCGGGACTTATTGAGCCACGTTAGTTAAGTACGGCCGGTTAAAACAATTAGCTGCGCCTGACGCGGCTGCAGTAGCCCTGGTGTAAACAGCCCTTAGCAGTAATTCTGTTATCGGCGTTCAGCGAGCATTCATAGGCTTAACGGGGTTTATTTACCTCTCTCCCTCTTGTCTGCTTACTACCCTCTCTCTCTCTTACTACCCTCTCTCAACTTCTGTGTGTCTCTGTCTCTCAAAGGTTTCCTGTATCATAGCCGAAGTGCATCTAATTTGAATGCCATCGCAGATACCGTCAACCTAACGTCAAAAAGCTTACTAACTTTTACCGTCAACCATCTTGATAATTACCTCTGTCAATGTACACTAAAAGGATTATAGTTGTTCGTGAAAGTAAATTTTGCATATCACGGGTCGAGAACAGATCGAACACGCGATGAAAAAGGTTTAAAATCAGCGTGGCGAAAATTAAAAGTTCGCGATAAAATGTCCGTTCACATTCGGAGCAGTAAAACGAAACGCACCATCATAAAATATTTTTATCGGTGGCTACCTCTGTTTTCACCGGTCCGATATTTTCAACCGGATACCACCGAGATTAGAGATTCGACTGTTTTATCATGGAATCTACTGTTAACGGAAAATACACGACGATTTTGCGCGACGTTCTGAATTGGCTCTCGTGCGCTGAGCTACGATCGTGCTTCTTGTTGCTGGGTTCCGACCGTTTTATTGCTTCCATTTTCAATAACAGTGAACGTAACAGAAATCACAACCGGATATAAAGTTTCTTAACAGAGATATCAGGACACCGGGAAAAGGGAACGGAGATAATGATAGATGAAGACTCATTTCCGTACTGGTTGCTCTAACGAGATTATACGCTGTTTCAACTTGACATAGTTTGATGCTGGAATTTATTTTACTGTAAATAATTAGTATCACAGTTTCTTTTAAAAACATCATGTACTTCTGTATTTTATTACTCTGCTATTTTATTATTTTTCTGTAAATAATTAGTATCAAAGTTTCTCTTAAAAACATCATGTACCTCTGTATTTTATTACTCTGCTATTTTATTATTTTCCTGTAAATAATTAGTATGAAAATTTCTTTTAAAAACATCACGTACCTCTATATTTTATTACTCTGTCATTTTATTATTTTCCTATAAATAATTAATATGAAAGTTTCTTTTAAAAACATCATGTACCCCTATCTACTTATAGGTTATGTTTTAATATAATTTCTAATATTTGAAAGCATTTCCCAAATTTAATTCGTTGAATCATTCACATAATTCCTCCGCTTATTTGACGCTATAATTCCGAAGATAACGTTATCACGAGCTACAAATTTAAAGACGAATCGGCCGGAAGTTAAGCCATGATTATCCTTTTATTTCGAATGATAAAGTTCGCAGGATTCACCGAGGAGGATAACTGCGAGTTTTTGAAAACTCAACGAAGCGTACCATTCAATATTTATGCATCGGTATAGAAACCCCTGACTACGCGATTTCTACGGGCTTTTTCGATCCCCCGAGTGTCCCTTCCTCTATCTTTCTTTACCCCTATTCCGTTTCACGAGGAACGAAATACGTTCACGGATCATCGATTCGATTTTTCACGGAAATATTACCCCGTGACCTCTTCGTTGCTGTTCCGAAAACTTTTCCCTTCTATTTTTCTGAGTTTCTGCGAGCAGTCTTAAAACGTACTTCTCAGATCGTGCTGGCATAAAAATGACGAAAAATAAAAATATTCTGATCTTTAAATCTTGTCTTATTCTTATAGAATTATATGTAAAAACAATTTTGTTTAAGTTCAAAAATTAGTAATAGAAGCAAAGGTACTTTTATTTTATTTTTGCTGAATGATCAAGATGACAAAGAATGAAAATATTCGATTTTAAACTGATCTTCAAATCTCATCTTATTCTTATAAAGTTATATGTAAAAACAATTTCTTTAAGTTCAAAAATTAGTAACAGAAGCAAAGGTACTTGCTTTTATTTTATTTTTGCTGAGTCTTTTAAAATTAATACTTGATAAATAAAATTTCTTTGACCGCAAATTTCGTCAGAAAAATTTCGAAGCACCTAATGATTACAAGTAAAAAAAAGAATTGACGGCTATAATTATGGTAAGCGGATAAGAACGATAAACGAAAATATTCAACCCGAAGAATTCCTAAACGAAACCTCCTGCAACTTACAACCTGTTCCCATGGCAAGGGATAATCCAGATTTTACGGGCTTTACAGATTTGTCAAACAGAAATTGCCGTTGTATTCTATGAAAGGGCTGTCTGAAAAAGGACGGTGCAGACGATGGTTTAAGATTGAATGGTTCACGATGCTCGAGTACTCGAGAACGTAGAAGCGGAAGGGTGCAAGAGCCGAGCGCAATTTTAGAGTCGTTCGTGCGTTGCAGGATATAGCTACGTAACCGACGATAATGCTTAGCCACTCACCCTCTAACTCCTTGTTCTCTCGCTACTTCCGCCTTGATTCCTCCGGGTCTCGATATCCATTGGAATCGGGATCCGTCTTGGGAATAACCGAGAAATTCCAGACTGAAACTTCTACCGATGTTCGCGATACTTGGACATTATTTTAGTTGACTTAACGGAAGTGCACCGTTGATCGAGGTTGAACGTGATCCTGAAACATTTGAGGCATAAACAATATAACTGCGGTCACAAAAATTATTGTAGTGACAAATTCTTTACTTTTTATACACTTTTTACTTTCAATTAGGTTGATTCAAACTCTTGTGGTTCCAATAGCTATTTGGAGCAAAATTGATGTAAAGATTTTTTATACATTTTCTATAGATTTTCTCTCATATTTCTATATTGTTATGTTAATAAATTATAGTTAAATTACTGACTGTACTGTTCAGATGTTCCCTTAATAAGAAATAGTAAAATAAGAATATAGTAAATGTAATCAACATTATAATTGTTATACCTTCTCATTTTCTGCCTCAAAGAAATAATACTGCAAATATTTCTCAAAGATATAAAATCATATAAATCATATTATTTGATATATTTTGCATTATTGAAATACTCTGAACATGACAAAGTACAAAAGATACTTTAAAAGTTACATTGTACCGAATAGAGATATCAAGATAGAAACTCGGAAATGGTTTACTATGCAATCGGCGAGACAGGAAGAATTGACACATATGGAATAGTGGTTTCGGAAGTTGCTGCTTCCTTATCAACGAAATAAATCGTTCGCGTGGGAGTGAGGTTTCTCCTCCCGGCTATTATCTATATTCTTCCTCTCTGACCATATGTCGATATTCCTAAAGCGTCTATGATCATTGGACTTTTCTATAAAACGACTCTCGGTTTTGGTCTGTTTCAACTCGGTCAAAGGACATTTAATTAAAACCCCGAAACAATACCTTCAACTCCAAAAAAACAATTAGTGGCTTTGTCACTTTTATTGCTCTTTCTGTGTGATTTAAAAAGCGTTGTATTCTATGTTTTAATATTTGAAAATATATTTGCTAATTGTGATGTTATATTTTATTTCTTTTGGTTGCAGGTGAAGATAATTTTAAAAAGATGTGCAGAGTTAATAAATTGAAAAGTATTTTATTACTAATTATATGATTATATAATATAAATTGTTAGTGTCCTTGTCCCTCTTGCACGAGGCGGGAGAGACAAGGATCTCCCGAGCTTCCTAATTTCACCGCATGAGGCCCCCAAAGTCAATTCGAACTTTTTCCCTCCAAATTTTAATTACCGACCTCATTGCTTTGAAAGAGACTAATTATGCTACTTTGAGATCAAAGACCACTCTACTTATATCAATAAAATTTAATAATCGCCTATTTTTTTGAAATTAGTACCTATCTATTTTATATACCTTACCCTTACCGCTAGATAGCGTAAGGTACCTCCCAAAGCGCGTATTTAATTTAAAGTTCAAACACATCAAAATAAAATTTAAACTTACATTTTTGGACGATTGAGTCGATGTTTCTTCAATGATGTACCAAGTCAGTTATATCATTCTCACTAAAAAAGACAAAAATTGGCTGTCAAGGAAGTTCCATGCATTTCACACGAATATCACAAAAATGAATATTTCATAATATTATCATATAAATTAGTGATTTTCATATAACAAAAGAATGACTGTACTTACCAAAAGCACTTCTAAAGTTCTTCCAGTCCAAATTTCTTCAAATTTCCTTCAAAAACACTAATTTTAAAACAGACGAAACGATTTCGCGCGTGAAGAGGACTGCACACTCCTAGCGGAAGAGTAGCGAACTTCCCGGAAACGTGTTCTTTTGATTGGTCGATTTTAAATTGGAAAAAAAGCGGTTGTTGAGTTGAGAAAGCGGATGTCAACGGATTTGTGGCGCGATATTGCGTGCATATGTTAAAATATCAGTTTTCACTGTATATTCACAAAAATAGAAAGTAGAAATGTCTTACGCACGAATTACGGTTAAGTTTGTAACTAGAGGTTCAGTAAATTGATATTATCAACGATAAAATACTCTAACATCCGAAGAAAGTTGTAAACCTGTTGCGTGACTTCATACTCGATAAAATACTAACAGTTCTATTCAAACAGATATTGTATTATATGCAAAATGACTGCTTCATTATCTTTATTAGCAAGCCACGATGAAGTGGTGCGTTGCTCGGACGTCCTCATAAATGGAGCCTGTGAAGAAGGTTTGATCTCAAACATTTCTTACCCTTTACAATATTTCCTTTATTCAGTAATGACTTGTATTTAGTTACTGAACAACTACAACTTCAATATTGTATTAATGGTATATTATATTCCACACAGAATTCTTACAGTTTGCAATAAATCAAGAGGAAATGAGACAGAAATGGCTGGCTTCTGTACAAGAATGTCAGCGCCTTCATTCTGCATTAGAAAAAGCTCATCACGAAGCAGCAGACTTGGACAGAAAATTAAGTCATGCTAGGAGACTTTTAGATGAAGAAAAGCGAAAGAGAAGAACCGTTGAAGAGCAAAGAAATTCATTGGTAGGCGTTGTGTCTACCAGCACGTGTAAATTTTATTCCTAGTACATATATATATTTCATGCTTGTACATTTACAGGAGAGACAGATCGCTATGGTGAGGGATCTTCTGTTCAATGATGGTGGAAAGAACATTAACGATGAAACACGAGAAAAGTTACAATTTTTGAATAACACTACATTGAATGGACGTCATAGTAACATACACATTAAGGACTTACAAAATGATAAGTAAGTTTCGTTTTGTAAAGAAACATTTTTTGCTTTGGATAGCGTTAACTAAAATTATTGTTTCAGATTAAATACTATAGCGGAGCTGGACTCCACTGGCTCTATTTTAAGTGACTTAAGTTGTTTTTCGAAGTCGGAAGATGACTTAGATGCTAGTGTAATTCTTCAACAACAACAGAAAAGACGTGAATGGAAAGAGCACAGACCCAGTGGAGAGTATTCTTCAAGGAAACGTCACAGTGCAGTACAAAAAGTTGCAGAATTAAACACTTCTGATAGAATAGTAGCTACAACTACAGTAGTAGTACCTAAAGAAGGCAACATTACTGCATCCTCTGTCATTGAGGCTGTAGCCAGAGATGAAAATACAGATCCACAAGGTCCTTTACATAGTGCACGTAAACGACGTAAAAGCGGTGATCGCAGTAAATCGAAATTGGGTCCAGTTGACACAAATGAAATACAAATTGATACTGCGGTAAGTCTCTATATATGCAAAATATATCTTCTATAATTTTTATTTGAAAAATTTATATTACAGCCTTCTGCACCAAAAGCAGATAATATTACTTCAGGATCAGATTCTGAAGGAATTTTCAAACCTAGTCCAAACATAGGTGGATACACTTTAAACACGAAATCTGCAAGAGGTCATAGTTTTGTGGCAAAGACAGTAATTAAACCAGAGATTTGTACACCCTGTGATAAGAGGTATAAATATTTGTCTAAATGATTCATTACATTTTAATCAATTGCATGTATAATATTTCAGAATTCGATTTGGAAAAGTAGCTTTAAAATGTAAAGACTGTAGAGCTACAGCTCATACAGAATGTAAAGACCTAGTACCACTACCGTGTATACCCACAGGAAATACACCTACATTACGTGGGACATCTGTAAGTATTTTATATTTTCATATTTTACAAATAGATTTATCACACTGCATGTTTCTAGGGAACTATAGCAGACTATACACCTATGATCCCGCCAATGGTTCCCTCGTTAGTTGTTCATTGTATCAATGAAGTAGAATTGAGGGGAATGAGTGAACAAGGATTATACAGGGTAAATGGTGGTTCAAATGAGGTGAAATGTCTAAAAGAAAAGTTTCTTAAAGGTAAAGGAGCTCCAAATCTCTCGGATGTTGATATACCCACCATATGTTCTACTCTTAAAGATTTCCTCAGGTATGTTTGTCTAAGAGTTTGCTCTCACATTTAAAAGGAATAGTTTACATTTTTTGTTGCTTTCTATAGATCATTACGGGAACCGTTAATTACTGTTGGATTATGGGCAGATTTTGTACGCGCTACTACTATTACTGATAAACAAGATGCAGATGCAGCTTTGTATCAAGCGATTTCAGAACTACCTCAACCCAACAGAGATACGCTTGCCTTCCTAATATTACATTTGCAGAGAGTGTCAAGTAGTCCTGAATGTAAAATGCCGATAAGCAATCTGGCTAAAGTTTTTGGCCCTACATTGGTGGGTTACAGTTGTCAGGAACCATCTCCCACTTCTTTGCTTACCGAAACGAGGAACCAAGCTGCTGTAAGTATTATAACAATGCAATATGACTGTTTCTTCTTTTCCTTGGCAAATTATTATTAATATATTAAATTGTTCGTTACAGATAGTAGAAAATTTATTGAAAATTCCTTCGGATTACTGGGCGAATTTCGTCAATCCTGAAAACCTAAATAACATTGGTACTCATAGAACGGGAGAATTAAGGCATACCCCGTCCACAGAATCTTTGCTGAAACGTAGCACTTCTCGTGGCTTCTTTAATACTCCACTTGCTTCTAGGTTTGTATTTTACTGTTGTTCTTCATACAGTGAAATCTTTCTTCATCATTTTAAAATGATCATACTTTATTTTGTTTGTTACAGTCGAACATTCATGAGGAGAAACAAGAAATATTTTGCAACTCCTCCTTCTAGAATAGGTTTCTAAAGAAGATAGGTATGTACTTAATTATATTTACATTAAGAAATGAACAATTAGCAACTGTCTTATTAATAATTTCAATATAAATCATTTAATTTTTTCTGATGTTCAACATGATGTTTAAATATTCTGATTGAAAATTCGTAATATATTGATGGAAATAGTTGCAGAATATAAAATACTGTATGTACCGTTCGGTTATTCAAAGTACAATATTAGACGTTAATGGAATTAAAATGTTAATAATATAATGTATTAAATGCTTATTAATAATGATATTTTACATGTGAACAAATGATGATAATAGAATCTCAAATCCTTCTGGATTGAGACTAAAATATAATTATATATTTAAAAGTTGACATTGCATATCTATGTGTGTACAAATGCAATGGCTTTTGTTTATAACGCGATAAAAACTTTTCGGTCAGGTAAATGTGCAGACATACTTCAATGCAATTTCGTTCTTTCTTTTTTTTTTTATCGTAAAGTACATGTATTTGTAACAAAAATTATAAATTTATTATTACTAGTTTTGTAAAAACAATATACGCCTTATGCAAACTAAGTAAACTCGAAATATATATTACAAACATTACCTTTTTAAATTCATTTACATCATATCTTTCAAGCATTAGAAAATATCTTTAATTTGTACATATCTTCGTTATCATAATAATAATCGTATCACAAGTTCATACATTTTAAATGATCTTTTAATTACAAAAAACGAGGTACTTTAATTATGGCGAACTAAATTTCTTGATTATTACAATTAAATTGCAAGCTTATAAAACAGTACCTTATTGTTATGATATTTTTCATTTAAACGACTTATGTTGTTTTCATGCATGATTTTTCTTTTACTTCCCAACAAGATTCCCAAAATTGTACCAATCTATTATCCCCGTTCGAGCAGAAGTGTCTAAAATCTTGAATGAGCTTTTTCTGAAACAATTCATCACCAGCCAAGGTCGATGATGATTTCCATTTCCGACTGACCATATGATTCCATGACCAAAGAAATCCAATCTAAACGAAGAAAAAATATTTGTCCAACTGCTTCCTAAAATCAGTCACAAATACTTACCCTTTTATCTTTAGCGTAATCATCTTTATTTTTTCCGCTAACATGCCTAGTAATATAAGCTTCATGAGGACTAGGCTGTTCAGAATGAATTGGATATCCCTTCTGTCCTGTATTCCGTCTTACAATATTGGTAGCACTTCGTGGACGTGATTTTGTGTTAGCAGTAGAAGGAATGAGTATAAATGCATTGCCAGTCATGTGAACGTACTGATGACCGTTCTCTGTACTTTCTATTAAACAAGGAACAAATCCAAATCGTTGTACGATTGCTTCTTGAAGTAGGTGAAGTCTTTGTGCGTGAGTTTCTTCTTGGAATTCTACAAGTAATTACAAATAATTACAATCTTTTCATCTTGTGAAATTGAAACATGATTAGTGTTAAATTAATGAGAAACCTTCAAAAAGATGCTGTTTGTTCGTAGCCAGACATTCCGTGTTTAATGGTATAAAAATAGGTCCCCTTAGAGGATCGCTCTTCAAAGTGAACGGTAGTGCTAATAGGTCGCTGGGAATGGGTACCATTTGAATTCCACACATTTGAGCTTTGCGTTGCCATACGAATATCTTTTCAAAATAAAATCCAAGTGTGATAGCATTTCCAAAAATAACATTTTATAACATTCTAAAGTGATATACTTACGAGATCAGCAACTATGCTACCAGAGGATGCTACCCATTGCACTACAAGTTCATATGAATGATCCACTTTGTATATAGATTGGTACCTTAAATGACCCCACTCAATTCTGTCGCTTCTATTATTTATGTCGATGTCTAAATGAGTATGCTTATATGATGGAGCTAGATAATAAAATAACCTAGATTAGAAAGCTTGCAAATTTAGAAATGTGAGCCATAGACTATAATTTATAGTATAAGATTACCTTGCCAGTCCCTGTCATCCTCACAATTTATTAAGTCTAGATCATCTTTAAGAAATGATGGTACATTTGATTCGTCAATAGTGTCACAGCTAGGTATAGTCATAGGCGAAGACACCGACGAAAACGTTCCTGACGAAGTAGGCTCACACCACCCTTTTGGTGCCTTGATTTCGACTTCCACCCATTCATTCTCAAAGCTTTGTAAATCGCCCAGAGGCGAAAAGTAATCTCCTATTTAAAGATAACCCAAACAATCAATTATAAGTTTAAAGTTAATAAAAACTATTTGATCCTACCTCTTTGGTTCTCTTTATCTTGCACTATGTGATATAAATAAAATCCTAAAATAAACGGTTTGGAAAAATCACCTGATGCATGGCATATTAATTTGTCTTGTATCATACCCTGAATGAAAGTATGTTATTACAGTGTAATCAATCGCTTTTTAATGTACTAGAAAATCATTCTTACATTCATGATGTTAATAGCACCTTCTACAGTTACTCCTCCCTCTATATGATTATTTAACCATTGCACAGCATCTGCACTGACAAATGTCTGACTTGGTAGAGATGGATGGTGTGTAAGGAACCCTACACCAGTCTGTGGATGTTTCATAGCCTCTAGAATTTCATTATTTGGTGCAGTGTTTTTCAATTTTGTCAGTTCCATATTTGCACTACAAATGAAGTTTTAAAATTAGCCCAGGATTCTTTAAAACAACTTCATATAATTTGATATTCAATTTACTTGTCTTCGTTAGAATCAAAATGATCTTGTTGCTGCTCAAGTGCGAGTGGTAACACAGCTTCACTAGCTGGTGAGACCCTACCTCTGTCCATCACTTTAGAACCTGACCTGATAAAGTTGGATAAACAATGATTACGTAAAGTTCAAGCTACTACAATGCTGCATAGCGAAGTAACAGGTAGCGAATGGAAATTTAAAGAATATCTAAGACTGCAATATGGAAAGCCACAAAATTTGTTTGCATATGCATAGTACCATTTGCATTTGTTTCAAACAATCATTGAAATTATATCTCGAACTTATATGTATGTACATCATGATGAAATAGAAGTCTCAACAACATTGGAATTTGTGATGGAACTGTGAAGTTTTAAGACTTTGGAATGATGGAACTGTGAAGCTTTGAAACTTTGGAATGTTGGAACTTTGCATCGATTGCTTCAACAGTGGGATTTTAACATGTACATACATATTTTGTCACTGATAACGGATATTTAAGCTTATTGCTGAATGGAAAAATTTAAAGGAGCAACCAACCTGTTTGGCACGTGACGAGGAGTGTCGAGGCACGTGCGGGCAGTCGCAGCGGTATTCACTACATGCCTCTCCTGTACAGAGAACCCCGTCACTCCCTCACTCACTACCAATATTTTCTATGATACAGAGCATTCGTACAAGCTTATAATCATATATTTGCAAATTCTCTTCTAACTTCAAATTTTAAAGCATCTTATAAATGATACGAATGCTCTGCATTTTGGATTTACTAAATGATGGAAAAAATGAAAGCAGCTGAAAAGTATAGAATAGCCTGTATATGTACAAAGATATTCTCAATATGTGTACAGTTCTCTTTCACTTCGTGAACACCTTTCCAGAAATAGGATGCATTAAAAGTACCTTCATATTCATCACCAGAATAGAAGCATGTAATGTTTTTAAGGAAGTTAATTTTTTTTAGATTAAGCTTATTATGGTGCAACATAAACGTTAAACAAAGCATAAAGAGTAGCTATTCATGTCTTGTCCTTATAAAACATGCACATTTGTAGTTTATCAGAAATTATGTATGTTTATATTTAAATCATGTTGAGAAAATGTATGTTGCTGGAAATAAAGAATAATTTATTAAACAGAAATTTGTAATGTCTTTAAATTTTTAAGTTACAGCCTGGAGGATATGTTTTTATTCAAGTTCAGAATTTTGTATCATAATTTCTGCAAACCTAAGTAAAAAGAATACTTTTAATGTGTGTTTATTTGTAGAGTATTTAGTCTTCCATTATTATGCATTAATAATAAAACATACGTATAGCGTGAAACAACAAATAAAATGAAAAAAACCATCAAACATCAAACTCCAATGACCTGCCATCACAAAATGAATAGGCTGCAAGCAATACCATCACACTTGCACAAAGCAACAATGCTGAAATCATCAATCTAAGCTTGTTCAAACCTTGGTCTGGGTTTCTCTGGTAGGCGATTGCTTCCAAGTCGCTCCCTGAAGGGAGAATTGCCAACTAGACTGGTCTGAAAAGCATGATGAGAAGAGTATGGGTAACTGTAAATGTCATGAGTAAGCTGATGATCATGAAGAAGTATATCTCTGGTTTGTCTGACTGTAATCGCATCATTATTAACATCATATTTAGAGAGCATTATTACATCATGAAAAGAAATGGGAATAAATAAAATGTCGGCGTTTTTGCATTATACGAAAGCTTGCTAAGTCATGTGCGCATTCGAGGCAAATGTCAAGCATGGCTGCATTCATTGTGTAATAAGTTGTACAAGCTGTCTGAACATTCTACATAATTATTTGATTAAAGACAAACATTACTGAAGAGTAAAATGTAAATATTGTATGTATATAAAGGCACAAAAGTATTGACACTTGGAAATTGTTCCTAATCATAAAGAAAACAAGATGTATGTATAGAGAGTGAGGGCTAAACATGATAATGATTTCATTAACATCTGGATCAGCGTATCGAGGCTACAGGATGCGAGGATATACCTGGTTAGTGAGGAAAATCAGGCTCGTGCTGTGCCTGCGTCTGGTCAAGTGAGAGGCGGGATCTCTCTGTGGTACACCACCTAGAGTCGAAGGATTCTGAAACATATCATGCTAAATACCCCTCCACTAATCTATTTCTCCCTATAATTATGTGTATATATTATGTATCTGTGTGTATGTGTGTGTGCAGCGTCAGCGAAATATATAAAAAATTTTAATATTTATATTATTATTCAAACAAAAATATCGACTGCGTTAGAAGTGAAACTTCTGTAACTGAACATGGTTTCTCCACACTCAGTTACAGATGTCTCGCTTAAAAAGAAGTAACAAAAAATGATTTCACCCGGTATATTGATTGTCAAATTGATCTTGTATGTGTTGCTAGTCAGCCACTGACTGTACATTGTAAGAAAAATTAGTTCTTACATAACATTGCCATTTCAAAAATATTATAACCATTGGTTATTTAAATACCAAGGAAGCTTGTGGACGAATCGTGCTCTGTTCGGTTTAAACTAGCCCTCATGTTATTGCCTGTTACGTTTCAAATATGTAGGGTACCACACAACATCAAATATTGCAGTGACACTGCATACAAAATCTTGCATAACGTAAATTAAAAAT